TTTATTAAATTGTGTATTATACAGCAACTCATACTACCTAAACCGTGTTACCATTTTTTATTATTATTATTTATTTGTAAACACACATTACACACCTACACATATACACGCTTAGAGACAAWTAMACATAACACASARCRCACATTACGTAGCTCGACAGTATTTGCCCGGCGATCCCGACCACTGCTGTTCGAGCTATTGCACCACTACACACCCAGAGGCATAACAAGCCGAGGGATATTTTTCAATTTTAGGAATGGAGTGATGGCGCCGAGGAGAAAAGCGAAATAAATACTACGGTAAATTTCTATTTTTTTTTTTTTTTTAAATACATTCCATAATAGTATATTATAATGTAAAATAATAAACAAAAGATTAGTTATGAGTTGCTAATTTAAATTTTATCTTGCCATTCAACTTTTCCTTCGTTATTGAAGTAACTACAGAAAGTATCGCGATGTACTTTCGCTGTTGTAGAAGAAGCTGAACTGCTGCTGCTTCTCATACCATATACATGCCCATCCAATCCTATTCCTTGTGAACTTTGAGAGGTTGCATGTTGATTGTTGACATAATCACTGGAATGTCTTCTAAGAAAATTATGTAAATAACAACAAGCTAGAACTATGGCATTTACTTTTGTTGGTCGTAGATTGATGGGTTTTCCAAGAACTGCGAACCTAGATACTAGAATTCCAAAAAAATTCTCAACGACCCTCCTTGCTCTCGATAGACGATAGTTATAAATGCGTCTTTCATTATTGAGCACAGACAAAGCATATGGTTTCATGAAATTATCCGTCAACTGAAAAGCCTCATCCGAAATGAAAACATATGGAGCAGTCTTGTTGCTTCCTGGAAGGCGTTCAGGAGGTGGAATGTTTAGTTCACCTTTTATAAGACTGTTGTAGAAAGATGTATTTTTAATTACGCCTCCATCCGAAATTCTTCCATTTTTTCCCACATCAGCCATTAAAATTTCGTAATTAGCGTCAACTACAGCCATTAATACGACGCTAAAAGTACCTTTGTAATTGAAGTACCGAGAGCCTGAATTTGCCGGTTTTTTTATTTGAACATGCTTTCCATCGACCGCACCGAGGCAGTGTGGGAATTGCCATTTTTCTTGAAATTCATGAGCTACCTTTTTCCAATCTTCTTCACTTTGAGGAATCTAAAACCATAAATTTAGAAATTGAAACTACTTAGTTTAAAAAAAATAACCAAATGTGTAATACTGTTGTGTATTATAGGCGTCGATTGGATCACTGCAATGGTGATATATTAAATTGTTAATAATTTTTCCAAATTAATTTAATATGTACTTTTGACCAAACAGTTTTATTTATGTTATAGGCTTCAGTTCCTTTATCTGAATTTACTTCACCGGCGTCAACACACACTTCATTTTCTGCACCACCCAGCAAAAAAAAAAGACCATTCCTACAACACATGATCTTCTTATTAAAGCCACGCGGTATATGGAAGCTAAAGACGATGAGTTCTTAACATTGGCGAAGGGTTACGCGGTTAAATTAAAAAAACTCGGTCAACAACAGCTCATGTTTGCTGATAAAGTGATCAATGAAACATTGCTTGATGGTCAAATGGGACTTTTGAACAGACGCAGCTATGTGGTTCACCCATCGGAGCTTCCGCCAACTACAACACAATCGCATTCATGGTATCAACCTACACCCAACTCTTTTTCACATGCATCTACAATCAACTCCTCTTCAGATCCATCTACATCCAACACGTCTTTTGCAGATACTCAGACGGTAAAGAGCGTATTCGAAGGATTCAGCTATATAAATGAAGATGATTTTTGATGAACATACTCTATTGTAAAACTAATATTATATAATATATATTATATATTATATATATTATAATATATATTATATATTATATAATTTTGATGAACTTCAATGTTTATTTAATAAATATATTTATCAACTTATTAATTTTTTTTCTTTTATATAAATCAAATTATTACAATTATCCAATTACAAAAATAAAATTCTCGGGAAACACACTTTTTTAAGAAAATAACTTGATCTTAAATATAAGTTTTTGATATTTAGAACATTAAAGTCTTCTTATAGTTATTTTGTATGGTATGTTTTATGTTTATTTAAAGCGATCTTAATTAGTGTAGTGTAATTATAGTTTATCATTATAAAACCAAAACAATAGTTAAATGATAATTTTTATGTGAATATGTAATATAAGTAATTGAGTTAGGTAAATTTTATAATGCATTTAAAGCAGTAAAACCACATAAAAGTAGTAAATTAGAATATGTATGCTGTCCAATGCTGAAGGTACTCATCATTAATTAAAATATACTCTATTTAACTTAACAGTTTTTAGAATATTTAAGGTTTTTAAAAAATCAAATCTTCTTATGTTTAGATAATATTAGTCTGGTTAGTTCAATAAACTGTTATAACAAATAACAATGATACACTTACTTGAATGAAATCTCGTAGTGCTGTCTGTATTGCTATGCAGGTTTCTATGATTATATCTCCGAGTGATTGAGGTGAAACACGCATTGAAAATTTCAAATCTTCATAGCTTCTCCCTGTCGCTAGAAACCTAAGCGCTACGCTATTGATAGCTACTATCAATCTCACATGAGAAGGTATTGCGGCTCTCATGACTGTATTTTGTTTTTCGATGAGGGGAGCAACTTTTCTCAAGAGCACTTGAAAAATGTTGTCATCCATTCGTAGGCAATTACTGAAATCGGAAATTTCCCCTCCTTCTTTCAACTCGTTCAATAAATGACAATCGCTGGGCAAACACTTCTTTGCAGAAACCAATCCTTGCTCCAGCGCTCACGGGGCCTTTTCTTCCGCTTATTTTCTTCTTCAAGCAGCACTGCTGCAATTACACAACACACTGCTGCTCTTTTTTTTCGGTCACCCATTGTCTTCTGCATACACGATACACATACAGTAGACCAGTAGACTGTGACTACACCGCACGAAAAAACTGAGAGAACTGTGATCATAACTGATGGAAAAACTGATGTAACCTACACACCTTCAGTTCAGATAACGGTACAATTTTTACTCAGTTAATCTCACAGATAAACTGCACAGTTAAACTGATCGTGTGTGGGCCCCTTAAAACTGAGCGAGCGGTGTAAAATTAACGACGCCGATGAGTGTTAACTGTTAATTGTTAATACTTAACTACAGTAGTACAGTCTACAGTGTATATTATAATAGTGTATTAGTGTTATTGATCTGTGTTGTGTGTGTGTGTGTTGCCTGACGCCCGTCTTCCAGCGTACGTTCATTTTTGTTTTATTTTTAAAATAACGAATAGCTATCAACCAATAGGCTAATAGCGATAAGGATAACAGTATACCAGTATACAGAGAAGCGCGGGCAACGCACACGAGTGTAACACGACTCGACGTTTGTCGCGTGTTCTAATGTGTACTCACTCACTCACATTGACAAACTATTGACTTTATCTATACTCTATTTTAAGAATTATAAAATACAAAATCCATCAGGAAATATTATATAATAACTAATAAGTAATAAGTAATAATATAATATTACTATACTATTAATTTTGATATATTAATGTCATTTTTCTTTTTAACGCGGTTACATTATTATACATATTATACAATTTGTATAATTTATACTCTAGTACACGTCATGCAGAGTTGGTAAAAACTTGTTTTCTTTTTTTTTAAATGATAATAATGTAAATATTATGCGACTACAGTAGTACAGTGGCGTTTTCCTAAGGAGGATGAAATATATAATAATTAATAATACACCCATAAGGCCATAAGGCCATAATAATACATACATATACATTAATACATTATATTATCCATTTTTAAAATTCCCTAACTTGTTACCAATCGCGGTTAGTGTGAATCAAGGTGAAATAAAAATTAACACGAATTGACGAATTGTATAATACTTGCCTTATCATTTTTAGCATTTATATTTATTATAAATTTATTCTAATTGCTAACGCCAATCGCGTGTTTAATACGATAACCGAAAAAAAAATAGTTATAATACAAAATCTACTTTTCTATTTTTTTGAATGCTCAGTACATCGATAACCTCATCAGGCATGATTTTGGATTCTCCTTAAAAAGGCAAAAAATATTATGATATAATTATAGAAATAAAAAACTCAAAAACAGACAGGTACAAAATACTTAAAGCCCGTTTCACATGGACGCGTATCATACGCGACGTATCGTACGCGTGCGTTTTTAGTTTACATTGATTAAGTTCATACGCCATACGCGTAGTCATGCTGGCGAGGGAAACGCGTCATCGTCGGAGTTAGAGGATGTCAGCGCACAGCGCACTATTTTCTCTCTCTGGCCCACGCGCAACATAAACAAAACTTATTTACGCATAATCATTTTTTCTATATTTTTTAGTAATCTTAGAGTAAGATCACCCATTACAAAACAGATGGATAATAATATTTTTGAGGGAATTACATATCGATTTTATATTTTTTATTGTTATTTGACTTTCAAAATAAACATAAAATAATGTTGTATATTTAAACGATGTTTAAAATGTTTAAATTGTGTTTTGAGACCATATTTTGACAAATTCGTGTCATTCCGTCACAAATATTAATCTCTATCTTTTTTGTAATGGGTTAGGTGATGAGGAGGACGACAGATTCCGTTTTGTCGATTCCGAAGTAAAGGTGTGAGACATGACGGGCGGACCCGATATCGTACTATTCGTAGGTACTAACGCATGAATACGGTTATCTAATGACACTAATGGCCAGGTTAGTGCCACTCCTAATGGACAAAATGTTCCATTGTAGTTTCATATTGCAGTCCCCGGGAGCGCTGCTGTCCTACCAGGTGGCGCCGTGGCGATCGGCACTCGCGCAGACGCGCAAATCGGCATTTG